AAAAAATACTTACCCTCCTCGTCAGAAAGGGTGGACTTAATTTGGATCAGTTCGTCCATCGGAAGTTCGCTCAGGCTGACAACTTCGTCCATGTAAAAAGTTCGATTCGCCAGAATTAAATGACAGCAAGAAAACGCTAGTAGAATACACGCGTTCACTTTATTCATGTTCATTTTGAAAATGAACCTTTCACAGATGAGATTCGTTTTGCACTAGTTCGGAGTGGCACGACTACCGTCTCTCATTTCGCTTGCTTGGCCGACAAAGCGAGGAGACAATTATCGCGTCCACGAGTCAACAAGGTGGAAATGAGTAACTAACATCCGGTGGAATCAGGTCGACTGAGCCAGTGCTCCAAGACCTTTTATCCTGTCGCGATGCTGAAATTCTCTCTCGCCGTCCTCATCGTAACAAGCGCCTCCGTTTCACCGCAGGAGAACGATGGTAAATTAATCAAATCAATTTTATTTTCTATTATTACTTATTTCATAATCTATGAATAATCGATGCAGGCGTTCTTGACAAGATAAAAGCTGGTTTGGAGTACGCTACGAATTACTTGGAGACTGCTAAAGATATTGCGAATCTGGTAGCGAAAAGCTTGGGCAAGAAACGACCGGAGAAAGACGGCCACGTGAATCCGGAGGAAAAAGGGAATTTCGGTCCGCCTAATATAATGTCAGCGTTCTTCCGCCTGTTCGGCTTGGATTCGCAGAAAGTAACAGCGATCGCAGTGAACAGCGTTATATTCCTCGCGCAAATGGTACGTTTCTCTATACTATTTTAGTATCAAACAATCATGAGAGCGCGCGTTCGCAGATAAGCTCGTTGTTCGACTTGAAGACTAAAGGGAATCCTGGCAGGAGTTTAGAAGACGATACATCGTCTTGGGATCCCGCTAAACTTATCACCGAGAGCAAAAACGAGAAGGTGAGTAATGATTTATACAAATTACACTAAGCAATTTTATTTTGTCATCTAAAACAGATTTCTCTTGTTTTAAGATACAGAGATTGATCTCGCAGGCTCACGACGAGAATCTCCCGCGACAGTTGATCGAAAAGGTGGACGGGGCCGATTCCGCTTGCGTCAGGCTGCTGATCTGCAAAACGTCGCCGGTGATAAGAGCTGCGCAGAATTTCCTGAAGAATAAAACCCAGAAGTTGCGGCGTATCACCTCGTGGCTGCCCAGCAGGGACGAGTTCGAGGAAAACAGCGACGAATGCGAAAATATGCACACCGATTGCAGTTTATTTACCTAGCAGTATAAGGATGTATAGGCTATATACTTAAACAATGCTAACAGTTGAATTTGCAAAATTTTAAATCAATTCATGGGTCTTTCGAAAAATTATACGCGTTAAATTATTGATAGATCGATGTACAATATGAGATAAAGAAATTCTAATCTAGACTTTAGTATTTCGCTGAAGAATTGCACTTCGAAAACAGGGATTAGTCATTTGGTCAAGGA